GGGATAAATACCCTGCCACGTCCGGTCTGTGTTTTTGTTTGATGTTTTTCTGCTTTGTATCGATCTGATGAGTTAAGCCTTTTTCAACTGATTTTTATAGTTTGTTCTTATGTTGTCCTGTAACACCGCTGTCCAAGGTAAGGGGAGGGTTGAGCGCTCACATTTTTTGATGTGACTGGCAACGTCAGGAGCCTGTAGTTCAGATGTTGTCGTTGGTTCATGTCTGTCACATTTGTTTTTCTTAGATTGTTTTGTTATAAATTAGGCCGTTAGTTTTCTCAATTGAATTGTTTCATATTTTTCATGCCGGGGCCTTTTATAGCCGACTATACGGTATGGGTTTTTCCGCTCATTGTTGAAGGCCGTAAGGTTGCCTTGCTTACATCCACTTTATTTGAACTTGGGTGGATAGTTGTCTGATTGGCAATCATACCACATCTCCTTATTTTTATAGTATAGCAAATTCTCACAATGATCTAGAGACGCCAACTACTGCTAGGGGAAAATAACGGGAGATAATAAACCTGTCAAAATTCCTGACCATAATTTTTCTTGCGTTAGGTCGCGTCAACCATGTGACGTCATCATTAGATATTATGTGACTAATTAATCTTAATTTTAATCAATCAACTAATTGCTTTGGAGGATAAACTCATCGTAAAAGAGAGGCCAAAAATACCAAAGGGATATTCAAACTCATAAGTCGAAAACAAAGTGACAATGGCATGGCAGAAAAACGAAAAACGACGAAAATACAAACAACAGTATACAAAACACAACATAGAAAACCAAAAACTTAACAACACGAACCCCACCAAAACAGGGGTGATTAAAAGATAGTGTTAAAATTGCCGGATTCGAAACTACCAAAATCAGATATTTGATTAGGGATTTTCCATATTTTATGAAAATATAGAAGCGACGAAAATTAAAGGTACATGTAGTCAAGGTCGTTAAACACGCCCTAGTAGTAATAGGGATTCGTCAGTCCTAAGGTGAATCGCGCCAGATTGTATGCGATTTAAATGTATGGAACGCCGCATTACAATAATAAGATGTGACATGCAAAATTTACAGTATTATGTTTCTCAATTATATGAGTTATAATCAAATAATAAGTGTTATGTTTGGTAATTATTTGCATCGGCTCTGGGATCGACGGCGTGCGCATGCTCGACTATATGAGATTAAAAGGGGGAATATTTCTCATATGGAGGTCAACCAGAGCTTCCCTGAGACGTTTCAGTCACCGACACCGTAAGATCAACTCCGTTGTGGAAGATTAGGGCGGTGGTCCTAGATGCTCGCAACTCTACACAATTGTTACAAGCAGAACTGCCTAATCTTGTAATCTGGGTACTTCAGTGAAAGTGACTTGAACGTTATTGCATACAAAAAGAGGGGGTAACATATTTCAATTTAATGTTCTCGAAAATTTGAAGTTGTCTCCTCCACTGGAATGGTGATCAATAAATCACACTAGATAACTCCGTGGTCACATTTGCATAATGATACACTATGTAGTTGTGGTGTGGTCGTCAGTTTGCAAAGATTTTCGCTCAAACCGGTGCAAGGCGCCGTCTGAAACTTGCAATGAGGGGAGAGTTTTTGATCCGTGTTGAAGGCCTCACTGTAACTTTGAGATGAAGAATAGAAATAAAAGCGCTGTTCCTTTGCCTTTTGTGTTTTAGCTGTGCATGCACTAATTTTTTGGATACCCCATATCTTTTCTTTCCTTTTATATTCGTTCACCTACACCTTTAACCCATAAAAAAAATAATATGATAAACATCTGTACATCATTAATCAATAACGCCAATTGATAAGCCGTAATCAATAAAACACTTTATGATGAGGTTATCCTCCAAGAAATTAATTGATTAGTCTCATAAATACTTAATGATGACGTCATTGGGTATCCTCATTGTGTATCCCCTTGGGTAGCATCTCTTAAAAGTTTAACATTAACACAATGTCGCTTTAACTATTACTCTCCTCATTACTGATATACTTTTTTTTATTAGTTCTTCTGATGTGTGTGGCAGACAATAGACATTTGCAAAAAAAGTTTACAAGTTCAATATTTCTAACATAAATTAAAAGTTTTATTTCGACTCTGATTAAAATATTGTTAAAAGTTATTTTCAATTTGAAAGTTTTAAACAAATATAGTTATTTTTCTCAATCGTTTCACTCCACCGAAAATAAAATTTTTCTTAACTAAATATCGTAGAAAAAACCAAACACAGTATATAGGGTTGTGCGTTCGCTACATGATCGCATTTAATATAACATATTTAACATATCTACAATCAGACATACGTAAATGCATCAAAATTCACCATAACAAGTCGATACGAACTGAGAAGGTAATATATTAAAGGTTATTTGGGGTTGATGGGTGGGAAATAGTGTACCAAAACTAACTTCTGTGTCGTAACTATCTTGTAACGAACGTTGCATTGCCATTAGTCAAGCGCGCCTTAAATTTTCTTTATATACTGACCGCCGAGATCGTCCGTGCAGAAAGGAGTTCAATGGGTATTACCTTATCTAATTTAAATATTGAAAAACGTTATGTTAAACATAGGACCGAAAAGAAATGTAATGATTTAAAATTTTGACTCCAAATCAAATGAATTTGAAGCGATCAATAATTTTAAAGAGTTAAGCAAGCATGGATTATTAATAGCAAATTATGTATGCTAGTACTTGATTTTCCTTCGTCGGTGTGCCTGTGATGCCGGATTTTTTAATAAGCTGTGATAGATCTCTTATAGTTATTTGTGTGCAATACTCGAAGTAGTTACGTCGTTCCAAAACAATTTTCCTATTTGGCGACAGAAGTTTTATCTAGTGACGTCACAATTTTTACGGGAACGTCTGTGATGTCTAGTTATAGCGGACAAATAGGGATAAGGTGTAAAAGCAAATAGTTCTTCATCTTTTCTCTACTCATAATACGCTAAAAATACTCCCGGTATCTCCTTCCGCATGATTGACGACATTGAGCATCAGTACAAGTCAATTAATATTAATTGATTAATTAATTAGGGTGCTTTTTCATAGCTCAAATTAAAGAGAAATAAATTTACAGTACAAGATTCTTTATTTTTTGAGAAGGAAAAGAAGAAGTTGAATTAATTGTTGATGGAGAAACAATCACCGTCTTTGCTTCCATATAACGTTTGTATATATGTACATATACATTATGTAATATTTATTGTTGTGTATCTCTATACCAATTGTAATTTGGTTTGTTGAGAAATAAAGATATATATATATATAGAAACAATCACTGTCTTTGCAGACAATGAAATAGTCAAAAAGATCCATGCCAAAGGTTTTTAAGCATTTATGAAGATATATAATTGACAACGCCAAAAAATTAAAAGAATTTGCTACACAGTATAATATGTATATCATAATCACAAATATAAAACAAAACCACTGCATCCAAAGAAATTCTAATATCATTTGTTGTTGGTTTTTTTTTATATATATTATTTATATGTTCACCTACTATTGCAGTCAAATGAAATATTAGTTCTTCAACTTGCAGTATAAACTTTCGTTAATATTTTTATATGCTAGGTCATAAAAGTGCTACAATAAACTTTAAAAAGGGTGATCTTACATTTTATTTAAACACTTACAACCTTTGGTATGTATACAAGTTTTTTTTTCTCTCAACAGACACAACCTTGTTAACAAGATCATTCACCAGGTTAAACATGGTAAATGGAAGGAACAATAAGACACTAGTAGTCAATTTTCAAAGCCACTACCAAAATGTCTATCCTCCAGCACTTCAGGCACATCTTTGATACCAGTGTCAATTTCTACAGTCCCATCGTGGACAGCAGAACCAATTATTTCAGGTACACCACGGACACAACAATCTAAAACTTCAGGCACATCTTTGACACCAGAGTCATACACGTCAAGCACTAAGGAAGCATTTCAGGCACATTTTTGACACCAGAGTCAAACACTTCAGACACATCTATGACACCAAGAGAAACCTCCGAGTACAGGTAACTCACTATTTACTTTTAAGCTGTGCATTTTTAATCGAGACGTTGAATAAATTACCCTTTAATAACAAAAAAATATGAATCCTCAACCATTTTCTCTCTTAAACAACCCTAAAACAGGACTAAAATTATTTTTAAATGAATATAGGATGGTATACTTCAATCAGACAGTAACCCACCTACAAAAACAACCAAAAGACACGTAGTGGGCAAGAAACAGTCTTGAACAAGGTATTCATTTAATATGTAAAGCTTAAATGGTCCCAAGTCTAGACTACAAAAGTGTGTATAGATTAAATACAAACATTAATACAGACAAACTTTGCAAGGTTAAAGATATTAAGATGTGACGTCAAACATACACGAGTGTTATATATGTATGCAAATACAAATTAACATATTTTTGCATTAATACATGGATTTATCCAATAAGAAATAATGTTGGGTACTTCCTTATTCATCGTAGATTATGGGCAAACAAAAGACAAACAATAAAAATCAGATTTGTGAGCTAAAACACACAGTGAACTATGCATCTATTTTTAGAAGCAGATCATCCAGGAACAACAATCAATCTTAATTCAGATGATGAATCATAAAAAAAGTGGTCAAAGAAGAATGAAAAGGTACTAACTAGCATTCAATTTATCTGAAGACTTTGCACAATTTTTTTGCATTTGTTTCTAAAATATCGTCCTGAAAATGCATGAAATATTTGCCACTGTATTATGCAAACAACAATCAATGAATGTATACAATACTGTATTATCCAGGCATCAGTGAAACATGTCAAACATGAACCTGCATTATATGGTCTGAACAGTAGTCTCATAAATTAAAAAAAGCTTACAAAATTGTTTCAAATGTGTCCTAATCATGCTTAAAATAAACTTTGTGTTTAAATTATTATCTATTGCAGATGCGTTAAAATTCTATGACCCAGATGCCAATCATTTATGGTTAGGACTTCACCACTGCTTGTACACGACTTCCTGTCATAATGGGATTTAGGGAACGTCTTCAGGTGACAGGAAGGCAATTAAAAAAACGAATGGTACTTCACAGAACTTGCATACAACTATACATTCCCTGAACCAACACTAAGATACTTTATATGGTGCCGTAAAACATGGGAGTGTAAATTGCATCCAGCTGCAAAAATGGATTTTGAATGCGGGTAATGTTTTTTTTCGCTAGTTAAAGATATCTAAAAGTTCTACAATTTGTAAATACTTTAACATTTGAAGCAACTAAAGAAATTGTAGCAGTTTCATACAGTTTATTATGAAGCTCTTTTCTAGTTTCAGAAGAATGTATATACAAAACCTATAAATAAGCATTCAAAATTAAGTGCCATTATCAAATCTTCAAATGGGTGTATCACTGTTCAACAACAACAATCAATCAAATCATACAACAGGTGGTTTTAGGATGCATCAAGTTCTTCTGATTAATTTGCTTTTGGCATAATATATTCATGCATGCAGGCTGGCTAAATATCTTATTCTCTGCTTTAATAGTTGTATCAAATTTCATTGAGAAAATTGATTGAAATCATACTTTGAAAAAAAATAGCTATTTAATTTGTTAATTCATCACTATATTGTACATACCTCTTGCCTATTACACTACCAGTCTTACATGTACGAGAAAATGTTAACTATCTTCCATGTTTGAATGTACATACTGTATGTTAGGTGACAATGTAAGCTTTGAACATAAATTTATTGGGAAATTTCATAACAGCCGTATAAAAGCAGGTGACTTTAATGTGCATGGTCATACCATTTGATTCTTTTTTTTTAATTTCAGTTCGATTTTCAACATCAGATATTACCCAGCTTATAACCAAATCGACCGAAGATGTAGAGAGGAAACAACAGGAAAGGATGGCTCTACAAACAGAACTGGTCAATGTCGTGAAAGACTCTGTATAACAAAATCTAGAATTGGAACTTTGAATGAAAAAAAAAAACTGTTTCAATGATTACATAGCACAGGGTTATTTTAATTTTTATTGGAAGTTTGTGATTATGACTTAAATAAATGACACTTAAGATAGGTATATTGAACTGAGATATTTTTTATGAGGAAAAGTTGTGAACTGTTGATTGGTGTTGATTTTCAAATTTATTGAAAATATTATCTTATCATTTAACTTGAAACTTATGTATATATTCTGTTTCCTGATTAATTCTAGGAAATAGCATGAAATATGCAATTCATAACTGTAATTCCAACATAATTTTGATTTAGGTTATGGATACCTTTCGTATATATTTTTGGATAAATAATCAAAATTTGATAAATTCTGCCAAACTTGCGGTTTAAGGCTATCTTCAGGCATTTAGAACTTGGCCATAATATTGTAAGATTCTCAAAGTGCCCACATGGAGTTGTGAAACTATTACATTGATTAAAGATTGACATACCTTTTGAAACGCGGCCCTATAGTGAAATAAGTTCGGGGAATATTGGCACTACCTCTTTGATTTTAAAGTCAAATCAATCTTGAGTATGAATCCGCACGTACAAACGCATGCACTCACGCAATAAACATACGGTCTTCAAAAAAGAGGGGTGTCTATGCTATAAATGTCAAGATCTTAATCGAGTATTGAAATGTAAATAGATATAAGAAGATGTGGTATGAGTGCCAATGAGACAACTCTCCTTCCAAGTCAAAATTTATAAAAGTAAACCATTATAGATCAAAGTTCGGTCTTCAACACGGAGCATTAGCTCACACCGAACAGCAAGCTATAAAGGGCCCCAAAAATTACTAGTGTAAAACCATTCAAACGGGAAAACCAACGGTCTAATCTATATAAAAAATTCGTAAGGGTTCCGCGGAACCCAGTGTCTCGCCTACTTTTGCTGTTAATCACAGGCTCAACAAAAATGAGGAAAAAAATCAATAAAAATATTCCTTTAGATACTATCTTTTGATTGTAAGAAGCTTCTGTCAAAGTTTGGTATAAATCCAGGATAGTTTATGAATCTAATAAATGTTTTAAAAACTTTAACTGCAGACTGTATTTAATGTTAACTGGAAGAAAAACTAAGTCCATTTATAAGTAATATACGGAAAAACAGGAAATAAATTTTTACAAAATGTCCTTCTAGATACTTGCTTTTGATCATAAACAAGCTTCTGTCCAAGTTTGGTACAAATCCAGGATAGTTTAAGAAAGTTATAAAATTTTAAAAACTTTAACCACAGAGTGAATGTAAATGTTAACTCGCAGAAAAACTAAAACTATTTATAAGTAAAATACGGATAAACAGGTACAAAACTTTAACAAAATTTCCTTCTAGATACTAGCTTTTGATCATAAACAAGCTTCTGTCCAAGTTTGGTACAAATCCAGGATAGTTTAAGAAAGTTATTAAAATTTCAAAAACTTTAACCACAGAGTGAATATTTGTGGACGCCGCAGACGACGTGTAAATTGAATTGTAATCAAGGTATTATGTTCGGAGCCATTAGTGCCACAGGCTATTTTGGACAACTTTTAGTGTCTGAAATTTAATGAGTAAGTAAAGTGTGTTAATTATTTAAAAATCATTATGTTGGACAAAATTCTACTAAAAATAATAATTTTACTATTTAAGTCTTGACATTAATAAATATGTTTCCAAAAGGTGTACAGTGGTCACTGCCATTAAACTACTTATGCCTGTAATGTTCCATTTAAAATGGCCCTATAAAAATGTAAAGGACTAGCACTCAGAATCTTGATATATATACCATATCTACACCATAAGGTGTCATCTTGTTTGATCTGGTATCAATCCAGCCTTTTTAAAACACAATTTTGTTTTATGTTTAAATGACATTTAAATTACTGAGTCCCCTTCCCGCATCGGCTGCATATTAATATATTTAAGACTTTTATGTAGTATAGTGACAGTGGTGTTCAGTTCGGAGTAAAATGTGAATGCCAGTGATATAGTACTTTTTTTGTAATCTAGACAAATCATTTTGGATCCGATTTGACCAATCCGATAGTCAACATGATCTTATAACAAAATGGCACATTTTTTTCCGAGAGCAATAAGAATGGAATTTGGATAAATGTTCCTTCGACAGTAACGTAACAATACAGTTTTTCACACTATAATCCATTTTCTAAGTTTTTATTCATTTTGTTACTTTTTCTCGCAAGAACCTATGACAGTTATTTTCCTGATATACTTATGGAATTTCTTCTTTTTTGGGTGGGCTAAGTATATCTAAATCCTACTTTTCAGTCAAGGAATAACTATGGCTCACCATTCCACGTTAAATGTAAATCTTTTATAGGTGTTTTATCATCTTAACTATTATTATCAATTTTTTTTCGCAATAAAGCTCTATTGATTGGATGTCAGTCTGTAGACTTTTGCACAAGGAAATTTGACAGATTTAACTTGCGGATTTTATAATTTGTAATAAAATAACAACTCAGAGGAAACCAATTTTTAGATTTCTAAACTCAAACAAACGATCCTTAAATAAAACAATTTAATTTTTTATTACACTGCACATGCTTCATACTGACAAACTTTCGCAATACGGCAAATTATTATACCAGCTGATAAGTTTGATTTAAAATGAACTTCATGAGTTTAACAGCCGAACGGGATAAGTCGAGGTGACCATGTGTCAATACCTAAGCCAACCCTTGAACAAGTGAAAATGAATAAAAAATTCGTAAGGGTTCCGCGGAACCCAGTGTCTCGCCTTCTTTTGCTGTTAGTCGCAGGCCCAACAAAAATGGGTAAACAATTATTAAAAATTTTCCTCTAGATACTTTTTTTTTTATTGTAAGAAGCTTCTATCCAAGTTTGGTAAAAATCCAGGATGGTTTATGAATCTAATAAATGTTTTAAAAACTTTAACTGCAGACTGTATGTAATGTTAACTGGAAGAAAAACTAAGTCCATTTATAAGTAATATACGGAAAAACAGGAAATAAATTTTTACAAAATTTCCTTCTAGATACTTGCTTTTGATCATAAACAAGCTTCTGTCCAAGTTTGGTACAAATCCAGGATAGTTTAAGAAAGTTATAAAATTTTAAAAACTTTAACCACAGAGTGAATGTAATGTTAACTGGCAGAAAAACTAAGTTCATCATAAGTGAAATACGGATAAACAGGATTTATTTTTTACAAAATTTACTTCTGGATACTATCTTATGATCATAAACAAGCTTCTGTCCAAGTTTGGTACAAATCCAGGATAGTTTAAGAAAGTTATTAAAATTTTAAAAACTTTAACCACAGAGTGAATGTAATGTTTCCCGGCAGAAAAACTAAGTCCATTTACAAGTAAAATACTGAAAAACAGGAATTTTATTTTTACAAAATTTACTTCTGGATACTATCTTATGATCATAAACAATCTTCTGTCCAAGTTTGGTAGAAATCCAGGATAGTTTAAGAAAGTTATTAAAATTTCAAAAACTTTAACCACAGAGTGAATATTTGTGGACGCCGCCGCCGACGACGACGACGACGACGACGACGACGACGCCGACGCCGACGGAATGTAGGATCGCTATGTCTCGCTTTTTCGACTAAAGTTGAAGGCTCGACAAAAACGAGAAACGAGAAACGCTTATGAACCACATCAACAAACGACAACTACTGAACATCAGATTCCATTTAGTTCTCAACGATGTTAAGATTTTAAAGCCTAGAAATAGTGGAGAAGGATCTGCTAATTCTGCTTACCCTTCCGGAGCACATGAGACACCCCCACCCCCACCCCCAGGTTCTGGTGGGGTTCGTGTTGCTCAAGTTTTTATGTAGTGTTTTGTGGACATGTTTTTCTTTTCTGTGTCTTTGTTTTTGCCATGACGTTGTCATTTTTCTTCGTCTTATGAGTGTTGAATGTATAAAACAGTATAATATAAGGTTTGGCGCCTTCCTCCTCCCTTATTCTACACGTAACCGCTTCCCCTTTTTAATAGTTCGCTGATCCACTACTGATTTAGTATAAAGAACCTAAATATTAGGTATATGTGATTTACCTCTTTCGAACAATGCATCAAGATAAATAAAACAATTACTATTATAAAAATTGGGTAAAATACATGAATTTAAAACGTTATGCATTGGTTGGATCATGGCATGATTTAGAAAATAAATGATGTCTTGCTTTTAAAATTAGAACTATCTAACACTAGAACAAAAAAGACTGTTGAAAATATGAAAGGTCTACGCTGTGAAAATTTAAGGAAAAGGGACAACCAACGCATACTGTTTACACAAGAAAGGGGCACATGAGTATAGAATTATAGTCACTTAAACTTCTCCAGTCGCGTATTGGGAAAGGGTGTCTGTTTGACTGTTTTATACACAATCAGGTCTGATTGAAATGAGAACATTCATTGAATGCATTATCTCTTTCGATCCTCTGTGACCATGGAACCTAGCCAATTGATTAAATGTTATATTTGTCTTAATGTGGCTGAAATTTTTCACACTCGACGTAAGAAACAACTGCAATTTCTTCTTTCAGTCTACATGGAAATGGACATCTGCATGATTTATTCGCAAGCCATTAGCTCTTAGGTTCATCCGAGTTAACAGTACGTTAGTACTTTGATTTAAGTTTATAATGAAGTCAGTTTAAAAAGAAATTTCTGAACTATAAATCAAAATTTATACTGCTATAGTCTTTGGTACCGTGTCGTCTGCCATTTGCCTTTAAAACATATATAGATGATAATCACTTACTTTTCTTAAACAAAGCACAAAGTTAAATTTTAACTTATATAAAGCACCAAATAGCAAAAGAACCAAAGGAACTCAATGTCCTAATTTCTTTGAAAAAGAAATGAATAACATTAAGATAGAATATTTTAAAGTTCCCCCTTTTTTCTGTAATGGAAATAAAATGAAATGAACATAGATATAACAAAGGTAAAAGTAAGACATGTAGCTGGTACTATATTTATAATTAACATTTTGAAAACTAGACTGTTCCAATAATCGAAAATAAGACTTTGGAATACATTCACTATAAAAATCTAAACATATAAATCCAAATAGCATACATATGTGTATGTA